TTCAAGGAAGTGGGAGCCCCGTTAGCTTCGGTTCCTGGAGGATTGTTGTTCCCTGTTCCGCAGCTGGCCGGGCGCTAATGGGCAGTCAGGTCATTTACCGAACTCGCCTGAACCAGCTCTAGCCTGTCTTTACTTGCATCCGAGCCACGGTTTATGAAATGCGCCTCATTTAACCCAAAGGGCATTTGGTGTGGGCTCAGAGAAAGTGAGTCGTGATGCGGAGGGACTCGCTGGCCCTGATAACCCCGAAGCAGAGCCGTTCTGAGCCCCCCCCCCAAGTTCCCGCTCAGATTTAGCAGCGCGCGTCATTTGGAAATCCTGGTTCTGGTCCTGTGTGTCCACGGACCCTCTCTGAAGACATCACCATGCCTGAAGCAGAGAAATGATTGGGTTTAACTGCTGTGGCTTCTGCTTTTTATTCATGGGCCTGAGTAGTAGGAGGTGTTGGAAGTAAGTCTCACATCGTAAGGAACAGTAGCCTTCCCTGCAGACCATGGAAATGTCACCAGAGGGACGTTCCTCTGGGAGATGTCAGACGTCCACCGGGCAGATGTTAGTCTCTGCAGAAAATGTATCCACTTACCTGTGTGAAATGCTACAGTGGAGTCCATTTATTTATTTATTTATTTATTTATTTATTTATTTATTTATTTATTTATTACTTTTTGGAGTCCATTTAGATTGTACTGTGTGATGATGGGTTATGGTTGGGGTTTTGCCTAAATTTTAGCTTGTGGCTGTTAAATATGTTGCCCTATCTTAAAAATGAGTTTGAAGGTGACCTTGAGGGGAATGTGAGGGTTTTTAAAACTTCCTGGATACTTAAAATGTCATCCCATTAGGGGATAATTTTCTCCTTGTATGGGAGGTGCTTCTGCTTCTGAAATTGGAAATTGGTCTGTGGAATTCCTCAGGTACAGTTTTTTAGGATTTTGGTATTGTTTTGAGCGGGTTGGGATGTGGGGAGGAAATTGAGGTGAAAGGTGCCATAAAGCCAGATTGGTTTCTGGGGTCATTTAGGGACCGTGGATAAGGAAGCATTTAGTCCACGCTATTTAAAAAAAAACATTTTTTTTTCTTTTTCACATCTTGGAAGCTGGGGGTTTCACCCTTTATAGAAGCTGACCTCAGTGAAGGCCAAAGTGGAGGATCAGTAAATATGCTACTGGCTCCCCCAAACTCCAGAGTGAGAGTCTTCTCCTTTTCCTTGGTTTTTATATTTTCTTTTCCATCATCTCCTTATGCTACAGAACCTCTGCAAGCTGTCTGACCTTACCAGGATAGTGACCTATACTCCTTTCTTCCCCTTTTCTGTTTGATGTTCTTGTGACTTTTATTCTTGGCAAATAAGGATGCCAGACTTGACACAAGTTACTGCTGAGTGATGGTTTTTACCACCCCTGCTTTTTCTCTCTCTTTCTTTCATTCTTATTTTAATTTAAAGGCAGCCCATGGATTATTAACTTAACACGGTCTGGGCAAACATGGAATTATGCAATCCCCAGGTGAGCAGGCCTGCCTGCTTCTCCTGTGTTCCGAGATAACCATTTGGGCTGGGAGTGTGGGTTGGTGTGGTGAAAGGAAGGTGAGGTGTGTGGGAGGGGGACCAAGAGAGCACTGTGCCTCTTGTCTTTGGGCTGGGGACAGTGGCCAGGGAGGCCCCCACACAGGAGAGTTTCCAGGTGTGCTCCACACCAGACTTTAACGTCTAAGAATTGTTTGGGATTACTGGGGTGTGTTCCTGGTTTGTGTTTTAGACTACCCGTTTATTGTGTTGTACCAGGAACAGATTGTACCAGTGACTGCTGTTTATACACTGAAGTGGGGTCGGTGGATCTGACTCATAACCTGGGATCTTCAGGGAGGAAATTATCAAGATAAGGGCACTAGCATTTTTGGGGCACCTGCTTCTATGCTACTTAGGATTCAGAGTTCTTAAATGAACCTCTCCTGCTCACAGGCGCTTTATGTTCTCAAGAATTTCTTTTTCCCTTGTAAGGGCATTTAAAAAGTACATCTAGAGACCAGTCCTAGGCTGATATGAGGCTGATTGTTTTTGGAGGTGGAAGCGAGTTTTGTAATCCCTGAACATCTTATTTTGCATTTGGATAAGAAAACGGAATTAAAACCGAACTCTTAAAAAAAAAAAAAAACACCGAAGTTTTCTTCTCTCCTCTTTTGCATTTAGGAGATCTTAGTATGATCCTTCAAATAAAGATTATGGGCCATCTGGCCCTTTTGGATGATTGGGGTGGTCTCGGCCTGGATGAGTGAAATGCAGTTTCATTTGCATAGTTTACTACGGAGCCTGAGGACAGGGTTGAATTGGTCTGAGAATCCACCAAGGAATGGAAAGAAGGGTTTACTTAAAAAATGAAAAAGTTTTGCTCAGGTTCTTCTGCTGAGAGCAAGACCCCATAATGAGCAGCCTCTTGGGGATGGAAACCAGGTGACATTTAAAGTTCACTCGTCTGCTGCCAGTCCCCTTGTCACAGAGAAGATTTCTCTTCTCTGTAATTTGTAGATATTAGATAACTTTGCATTTTTACCTCCTTTGATTTACTCTCTGGAGGGCCGTTGAGTGAAAGAATCGTGGAGGATTGGTTGACTCCGTTTGAAATCAGCATCTGGGCGTATGGGGGTGACCGGGAGGTGAGGTCGCGTGCTGTGCCGCGTTGCCCTGGAGGCCCCCGCGAGTCAGGGTCCCTGTCCCCGTCTTGGCTCTGTCTGTGCCCGCGGGCTCCCCGGGGCTCTGCTCCTGACCGCCCCACCCTGTGTTGCAGTGATGTGCTCGCCCTGCCCATCTTCAAGCCACAGGAGCCCCAGCTGTCCCCCGAGAACGAGGCCCGCCTGCCGCCGCTGCAGTACGTGTTGTTTGCCGCCACGTCCCCGGCCGTGAAGCTGCACGAGGAGACTCTGACCTATCTCAACCAAGGTAGTGGCCGGAGCGCGGGGGCCGCAGCGGGGCCTCCTTACCCGGTCACCGTGGGGTCGGCGGGGACCGAGACTGTTCTGTCCGCTTCCTAGCCCTGTGCCCTCCCCGAGCCTCCGCATCTTCATCTGATCCACTTTCCTGTGTCATGCAATTAGGCAAGCCTGGGGAGTGGTTGAGTGGTGTGATGTGATAATGAGGAGGACACCCCCCACCCTGGCCTGGCCTGGTACTTCCTACCAGGCAGTATTCCCAGCTGGGCGTTTCTGGGAGCGGTGCCTGCCACCTGTTACTCCCAGTGCCGCTCTGAGGATAGTCAGGGAGACCACTGAAGGAATGGAGGGGTAGACAATGCCTCCTTGAACAGAAAACCATAATCCGTTGCCCTCCTCCCCACCCCCTGCTCTCCACCCACGGTGACCTGAGGGAATGGCCAGAGACATAAGAACTGAGGGTGGGGAAGTCCTGTCTTCCTGCCCTAGACCAGAACAGAATGACAGCTGCCTTTTTACCAGCTTCTACTCTAGGGAAGTCACTTAAACTCCAGAAGCCTCCGATTCGGGATGGTTTCATCGGTGTGTTGCCTTGAGAATTAAGTGAGTCCCAAGTGTCTGGCAAGTGGTAAAGCACAGTTATGTTGCTTGCTCTCCCCAGTTATATCGGTGACTCTGAATTTAAGGAATGAGGCAGAGGGTTACTTGTTAGACTTTCTCCGTAGCTGACGTTTTCTTTCCACATTAACTTACAGCTTGGAGTTTGGGAATATGAACTGAGTAAACCACATGATCCTTAAATATATTACTTTTTTCTTAAAAATGCTTTTTCTCTCTTACTGCTTTTTTTCTGAGTAAAAAAGTGGCACATGCTTACTGTAAAACAGAATGTCAAATAGTACACAAATTTGTATTCCAGAAAGTTGTCCATAATCCTACTTTCCAGATTTTTCTTACTCCTACATTAACCCACATCTGTCTAATTATATAGACATATATGCATACATACTTAATAGAAATGTGTGCCTCCCCCCTTTTTTTAGGGTGCCCATGCCCACATGAGTGACTGGGTGGGGGTGAGGGGTGGGGAAGGGGCAGAGGAAGAGGGAGAAGCAGACTCCCTGCTGAGCAGGGACCACCCCCCAACTCAGGGCTCCATCCCAGGACCCTGGGATCATGACCTGATCCTAAGGCAGCCACTTCACCAACTGAGCCACCCAGGCACCTGGGAGAGAGAATATTAAGCAGGCTCCAAGCTCAGCCCAGAGCCCTGCATCAGCCTCTATCTCATGACCCTGAGATCGTGATCTGAGCTGAAATCAGAAGTCAGGTGCTTAATCAACTGAGCCACCCAGGTGCTCCCTGCCCCTTTCTTTTCAAGAGAAATGGGATCGTATTCTTATTTTCAGCCATTTGCTCTCTTTTCCCCTCAAACAAAAATATTCTCAGTCTTTCCATGTGGGTACATTACAAAAATAAAAAAACAAAAGTTGATCCTTACTTGTTACGTTATGATCCATTGTGTGGATGTCCCATAGTTTGTTCTGTTGAGGAACATCAGGCTTGTTTCCTCCTTTCTTCTCTTTGTCTTTTTCTTTTTTTCCTTATCAGAATTATACCCAGCACTGCAGTGAGCTTGCATGTGCACATATCTTAGGCTTAAGCAAGAGTGAGAATATCTGTGGGATAAATATTGAGAAATACAATTGCCAGTACAACATTTTGATAGGTATTGCCGTGTTGCCCTGTGTGAAGGTGTACTTATTTGTAATTCTACAAAAAATAAGTATCAAATAATTTTTTTCCTTCTGCCTTTTCTTCTCTTCCTTCTCTCTACTACACCTGAAATATAAAGTCCTTGAAGCAGAGACTTTGTTCTCTGCTATTCCCAGCTCAGTGCCTGGCATACATGACTTCTTTGTGTTTTTTTTATTTTTTATTTTTTAAGATTTTATTTATTTATTCATGAGAGACACAGAGAGAGAGGCAGAGACACAGGCAGAGGGAGAAACAGGCTCCATGCAGGGAGCCTGACCTGGGACTCCATCCTGGGTCCCCAGGATCACACCCTGGGCTGAGGCGGTGCTAAACCGCTGAGCCACCTGGGCTGCCCACATGACTTATTTGAATGAATGAATGATGTCTGTTTTTCTATACCTTTGCCAAAACCTTTTAACCTTAAGAACCTTAAAGTAGTGGGGAAAGTATAAGGTATTCTCATAATTTTTATTGCACTGATGATATTGAATATATGTATGCATATATTTTTTAAAGATTTTATTTTTAAGTAATCTCTGTACCCAATGTGGGGCTCAAATTGACAACACCAAGATCAAGAGTCGCTTGTTCCGGCCGCTGCCGTCGCCGTCGCCGCCGCTACCGAGGCCGAGCGGAGCCGTTAGCGCCGCGCCGCCGCCGCCCGCCCGCCCCGAGCAGCCCCAGGCCCGCCCGCCCGCGTCCAGATTTTTAAAAAATACAATGTCTAATGGTGATGAAGACCACATGGCCGAAGACTGCAGGGATGATATCGGGAGAACGAGTTTAATTGTCAACTGCCTCCCTCAGAACATGACCCAGGATGAGTTACGGAGTCTGTTCAGCAGTATTGGTGAAGTTGAATCTGCAAGACTCATTCGGGATAAAGTAGCGGGGCACAGCCTGGGCTATGGTTTCGTGAACTACGTGACTGCCAAGGACGCAGAGAGAGCAATCAACACGCTGAATGGCCTGTGGCTCCAGTCAAAAACCATTAAGGTGTCGTATGCTCGCCCGAGCTCAGAAGCCATCAAAGATGCCAACCTGTACATCAGTGGGCTCCCGCGGACCATGACCCAGAAGGACGTGGAGGATATGTTCTCTCGGTTCGGGCGAATCATCAACTCCCGGGTCCTTGTGGATCAGACCACAGGTTTGTCCAGAGGGGTTGCGTTTATCCGGTTTGACAAACGGTCGGAGGCAGAGGAGGCAATTACCAGTTTCAATGGTCATAAACCCCCAGGTTCCCCTGAGCCCATTACAGTGAAGTTTGCAGCCAACCCCAACCAGAACAAAAACGTGGCACTGCCCTCCCAGCTGTACCACTCGCCTGCCAGACGGTTCGGAGGCCCCGTTCACCACCAGGCGCAGAGATTCGGGTTCTCCCCTATGGGTGTAGATCACATGAGTGGGCTTTCTGGTGTCAATGTCCCGGGCAACGCGTCTTCGGGCTGGTGCATCTTCATCTACAACCTCGGGCAGGACGCCGATGAGGGGATCCTCTGGCAGATGTTTCGCCCCTTTGGGGCAGTCACCAATGTGAAAGTGATTCGCGACTTCAACACCTACAAGTGCAAAGGCTTTGGCTTTGTGACCATGACAAACTATGAAGAAGCCGCCATGGCCATAGCAAGTCTGAACGGCTACCGCCTGGGGGCAAAATCTTACAGGTTTCCTTCAAAACCAACAAGTCCCACAAATAACTCGCTCATGCTTTTTTTTTTTTTTTGTACGGAATAGATAATTAAGAGTGAAGAAGTTGAAACTTTTTTGTTAGTGTACAACTCATTTTGCGCCAATTTTCCCAAGTGTTTGTCTTAGTCTAAATGAGAAGTGAAAAGGTTTTTATACTCGGGGATGCAACCGACATGTTCAAATGTTTGAAATCCCACAATGTTAGACCAATTTAAGTTTCTTAAGTTATTTCCTTTAAAATATATATTAAACAGAAATCTAAGTAGACTGCATTGACTAACCAGTCCCTCGGGACGGTGGTGAACCTGAAGCATGCTTTAACTTCTAAGACTGTCTAACACTCGTTTCATTCGGTGTCTCCACAAACTGGATAAAAAACATAAAAACACAACAAAAAAAGACATGACCTTTTAGTTTTAGTTTTCAAACTAAAGACGTTAGACAGATGCTGAGTGTGCGTTTTCTCAACCGCTTCAACATTTTAAGCGATTTCTGCTTTGGTTGACAGGAAATTGCTTTCCCAAGCAGGTGCCATTGCCACCTCCTGCTCACTCAGCCCCGGGGCTCTGCAGCGGTCCTGGCAGTGGCAGCAGGCCATCCAACAGGGGGGCCGCCACCGGGGAGGGGGGCCGTATGCCGGGCCATACCGGGCCCTCCAGAGAAGGACACACATGGGTTTCATAAGGCCAGGCGCCAATGGGAACGGACCAAAGAGTTTCAGGGAAACTCCAGTATATTCCAGAGTCAGACCTAACTCCAGGGCGCGCCTGAAGACGTGCTGCTCCTCTGACATCCCAAATTTCTGTGCACACATGCATGCACGGTGCCCCGCACACCGGGCGCTGGTGTTCCCAACCATTTCTCCACTTTCCAAGAGCAGTTCACACAGCTCGAATGCCTAAGATCGCTCTATATTTTAAGAACACAGAAACATTTGAGCATTGTATTTCTCGCATCCTTCTCGTGAGCGCTAGACTTGTTTCTATTTTTTTAATAAATTAATTTTTATTGGTGTTCAATTTACCAACATACAGAATAACACCCAGTGCTCATCCCGTCAAGTGTCCCCCTCAGTGCCCGTCACCCATTCACCCCCACCCCCGCCCTCCTCCCTCTCCACCACCCCTAGTTCGTTTCCCAGAGTTAGGAGTCTTTATGTTCTGTCTCCCTTTCTGATATTTCCCACACATTTCTTCTCCCTTCCCTTATATTCCCTTTCACTATTATTCATATTCCCCAAATGAATGAGAACATACACTGTTTGTCCTTCTCCGATTGACTTACTTCACTCAGCATAATACCCTCCAGTTCCATCCACGTTGAAGCAAATGGTGGGTATTTGTCGTTTCTAATGGCTGAGTAATATTCCATTGTATACATAAACCACATCTTCTTTATCCATTCATCTTTCGATGGGCACCGAGGCTCCTTCCACAGTTTGGCTATTGTGGACATGGCTGCTAGAAACATCGGGGTGCAGGTGTCCCGGCGTTTCATTGCATCTGAATCTTTGGGGTAAATCCCTAACAGTGCAATTGCTGGGTCGTAGGGCAGGTCTATTTTTAATTCTTTGAGGAACCTCCACACAGTTTTCCAGAGTGGCTGCACCAGTTCACATTCCCACCAACAGTGTAAGAGGGTTCCCTTTTCTCCGCATCCTCTCCAACATTTGTTGTTTCCTGCCTTGTTAATTTTCCCCATTCTCACTGGTGTGAGGTGGTATCTCATTGTGGTTTTGATTTGTATTTCCCTGATGGCAAGTGATGCAGAGCATTTTCTCATGTGCATGTTGGCCATGTCTATGTCTTCCTCTGTGAGATTTCTCTTCATGTCTTTTGCCCATTTCATGATTGGATTGTTTGTTTCTTTGCTGTTGAGTTTAATAAGTTCTTTATAGATTTTGGAAACTAGCCCTTTATCTGATATGTTATTTGCAAATATCTTCTCCCATTCTGTAGGTTGTCTTTGAGTTTTGTTGACTGTATCCTTTGCTGTGCAAAAGCTTCTTATCTTGATGAAGTCCCAATAGTTCATTTTTGCTTTTGTTTCTTTTGCTTTCGTGGATGTATCTTGCAAGAAGTTACTGTGGCCAAGTTCAAAAAGGGTGTTGCCTGTGTTCTCCTCTAGGATTTTGATGGAATCTTGTCTCACATTTAGATCTTTCATCCATTTTGAGTTTATCTTTGTGTATGGTGCAAGAGAGTGGTCTAGTTTCATTCTTCTGCATGTGGATGTCCAATTTTCCCAGCACCATTTATTGAAGAGACTGTCTTTCTTCCAGTGGATCGTCTTTCCTCCTTTATCAAGTATTAGTTGACCATAAAGTTCAGGGTCCACTTCTGGGTTCTCTATTCTGTTCCATTGATCTATGTGTCTGTTTTTGTGCCAGTACCACACTGTCTTGATGACCACAGCTTTGTAGTACAACCTGAAATCTGGCATTGTGATGCCCCCAGATATGGTTTTCTTTTTTAAAATTCCCCTGGCTATTCGGGGTCTTTTCTGATTCCACACAAATCTTAAAATAATTTGTTCTAAGTCTCTGAAGAAAGTCCATGGTATTTTGATAGGGATTGCATTGAACGTGTAAATTGCCCTGGGTAACATTGACATTTTCACAATATTAATTCTGCCAATCCATGAGCATGGAATATTTTTCCATCTCTTTGTGTCTTCCTCAATTTCTTTCAGAAGTGTTCTATAGTTTTTAGGGTATAGATCCTTTACCTCTTTGGTTAGGTTTATTCCTAGGTATCTTATGCTTTTGGGTGCAATTGTAAATGGGATTGACTCCTTAATTTCTCTTTCTTCAGTCTCATTGTTAGTGTATAGGAATGCCATTGATTTCTGGGCATTGATTTTGTATCCTGCCATGCTACCAAATTGCTGTATGAGTTCTAGCAATCTTGGGGTGGAGGCTTTTGGGTTTTCTATGTAGAGTATCATGTCATCGGCGAAGAGGGAGAGTTTGACTTCTTCTTTGCCAATTTGAATGCCTTTAATGTCTTTTTGTTGTCTGATTGCTGAGGCTAGGACTTCCAATACTATGTTGAATAGCAGTGGTGAGAGTGGACATCCCTGTCTTGTTCCTGATCTTAGGGGAAAGGCTCCCAGTGCTTCCCCATTGAGAATGATATTTGCTGTGGGCTTTTCGTAGATGGCTTTTAAGATGTCGAGGAAAGTTCCCTCTATCCCTACACTCTGAAGAGTTTTGATCAGGAATGGATGCTGTATTTTGTCAAATGCTTTCTCTGCATCTAATGAGAGGATCATATGGTTCTTGGTTTTTCTCTTGCTGATATGATGAATCACATTGATTGTTTTACGAGTGTTGAACCAGCCTTGTGTCCCGGGGATAAATCCTACTTGGTCATGGTGAATAATTTTCTTAATGTGTTGTTGGATCCTATTGGCTAGTATCTTGTTGAGAATTTTTGCATCCATGTTCATCAGGGATATTGGTCTGTAATTCTCCTTTTTGGTGGGGTCTTTGTCTGGTTTTGGAATTAAGGTGATGCTGGCCTCATAGAATGAATTTGGAAGTACTCCATCTCTTTCTATCTTTCCAAACAGCTTTAGTAGAATAGGTATGATTTCTTCTTTAAACGTTTGATAGAATTCCCCTGGGAAGCCATCTGGCCCTGGACTCTTGTGTCTTGGGAGGTTTTTGATGACTTCTTCAATTTCCTCCCTGGTTATTGGCCTGTTCAGGTTTTCTATTTCTTCCTGCTCCAGTTTTGGTAGTTTGTGGCTTTCCAGGAATGCGTCCATTTCTTCTAGATTGCCTAATTTATTGGCGTAGAGCTGTTCATAATATGTTTTTAAAATCGTTTGTATTTCCTTGGTGTTGGTAGTGATCTCTCCTTTCTCATTCATGATTTTATTAATTTGAGTCTTCTCTCTCTTCTTTTTAATAAGGTTGGCTAATGGTTTATCTATCTTATTAATTCTTTCAAAGAACCAACTCCTGGTTCTATTGATCTGTTCCACAGTTCTTCTGGTCTCAATTTCGTTGAGTTCTGCTCGAATTTTAATTAACTCTCTTCTTCTGCTGGGCGTCGGGTCGATTTGCTGCTTCTTCTCTAGCTCCTTTATGTGTAAGGTTAGCTTTTGTATTTGAGTTCTTTCCAGTTTTTGAATGGATGCTTGTATTGCGATGTATTTCCCCCTCAGGACTGCTTTTGCTGCATCCCAAAGATTTTGAACGGTTGTATCTTCATTCTCATTAGTTTCCATGAATCTTTTTAATTCTTCCTTAATTTCCTGGTTGACCCTTTTATCTTTTAGCAGGATGGTCCTTAACCTCCACGTGTTTGAGGTCCTTCCAAACTTCTTGTGATTGAGTTCTAATTTCAAGGCGTTATGGTCTGAGAATATGCAGGGGACGATCCCAATCTTTTGGTATCGGTTCAGACCCGATTTGTGACCCAGTATGTGGTCTATTCTGGAGAAAGTTCCATGTGCACTTGAGAAGAATGTGTATTCAGTTGAGTTTGGATGTAAAGTTCTGTAGATATCTGTGAAATCTATCTGGTCCAGTGTATCATTTAAAGCTCTCGTTTCTTTGGAGATGTTGTGCTTAGAAGACCTATCGAGGGTAGAAAGAGCTAGATTGAAGTCACCAAGTATAAGTGTATTATTATCTAAGTATTTCTTCACTTTGGTTAATAATTCGTTTAAGTATTTGGCAGCTCCCACATTCGGGGCATATATATTGAGGATTGTTAAGTCCTCTTGCTGGATAGATCCTTTAAGTATGAGATAGTGTCCCTCTTCGTCTCTCACTACAGTCTTCGGGGTAAATTTTAGTTTATCTGATATAAGGATGGCTACCCCTGCTTTCTTTTGAGAACCATTTGAATGGTAAATGGTTCTCCAACCTTTTATTTTCAGGTTGTAGGTGTCCTTCTGTCTAAAATGAGTCTCTTGTAGACAGCAAATAGATGGGTCCTGCTTTTTTATCCAGTCTGAAACCCTGCGCCTTTTGATGGGGTCATTAAGCCCGTTC